ATCCAAAAGCAAGTTACTCAGAGAAAGCCATGCTGAACTGTGTGACAGAAGCAGAAAAGATGCAAAATATACTTAAGTTTTGGCAGAATTTGCTGGTGAACATCAAAGCTCAGAGTCTGGAATACACTTTCATTCCAGCCAAATTCCAACATGAAATGGACTCTGGTTTGCGCACCAAAATGTCTAGTGTGATAATATCTAACCAGATCTTTAAAGCAGTGTTGAGGAAAATGCTCTTACTGTGCAGACTGTTCTGCTGAACCTGCTTCAGCTGGTCATTCAGACACTGTTTGTCAGGAATCAACCGACTCAACCACTGCTGAGACTCCTGATGGAGACAAAAGAGAGAGAGAAAACACATGAAATATTCATGTGTTTTCAACAGAACAACATAAAACTGATTATCTTATTGTGTATAATTGTAGGTGAACAAGATATGCATAATCTAACGCACTTGTTTTTTCCCGTGAGGGGTTTAAACTCCCTCTTCTCTTCCACACACTCAAAAACACCCCAAACTGGAAAGTAGAGACTAATTCAAATGATACCAATGCTGAAAGGATGCTGATGATGCCTCTGTAAGAGGCGAGTGAGAAGAAAGAACGAAATGAGGATGGAGAGCAGGGAAGAAGTGCACACCTGCAGCTGCTGTTGCAGGCTGGTGATCTCAGCAATGCGGAGCTCTCGTGTCTTATTGGTGCTCTCGATCTCGTGCCTCTGAGCCGAGAGACGGAAACGAATGTCCTGCAGTTTACCCTCCAACTGTGACTTCTTATCATTCTAGAGAAGAGCCACAAAGAACAACAGATGTCAAATTATTAAACTCAGCATCAGATTAACTTTGGTTTAATATGCATAAGGGACCACTCAAACAGATTAAAATTCTGTTTGGTGCTGCTGATAGTGCAGAAATCACGAAAGGCAGCTTTAAAATTAGTCTACATGTCTTTTTTAACTGCCTTATTAAAGGGATAGTTCACCCAAAAATGATAATACGTGCAGAGGAAAGTACGTACACGTGTCGCGATACTCTCCAAAATGGCTAGGGTGACGCGGAGAAGAACTGTAGAGTCGTTATTTTTGTTTTCTTTGCGCACAAAAAGTATTCTTGTAACATTATGCTGATAGTGTTTAACATGCACTGAACTCAGAGAATTTTTGAACTCACCTCTCTTCTCTCGATCTCCTTGCGTCTCTCCTCCTCCCTCTGTCGCTCCAGCTCTCTCTGTCTCTCCAGTTGTTTGTCCAGCTCCTGCTGTCTGCGTCTCTCCTGCTCCAGTCGTTCTCTCTCCTTCCTCTCTTGCTCCTCTTTCTCCAGCGCCACCAGTCGCTCCTGCTCTTTCCTCTGCTGCTCCAGCAGCGTCTGCCGACGTTTCTCCAGCTCCAGGTTTCCACGCTCAAAGTTCTCTCGTTTCTTATCCTCGAATGTGACTGAGGGGAAATACGGAAACAATTTTAAGACAGATTTTTACATTTAAAACAAAGTAGCAACCTTTGGCACTCTTTTACACCTAGCATGTGTTTATGGTGATACACTTGACCACATTAAAAGCCACACGTAAATAGACACAAACAGTGATTGTATTGAGATCATTAAAACCAGTTTCAGAAGTTGTCAGAACAGGTTCTGACCACATTCAATGAAAATGTTAATGCATTTTGTTAACTATGCAAATAATATGTAAAAGGTTGCTCTACACATAAAACATTAACTGTCATTTTGACAGGCTGGGCTGTACATTTTCTATCATGCCCTACCTTTATGTCATCTTGTGATCTGGTCAAATAAAAGAACAATATCTCATGAATTATTCCACTGAACAACACTTGCAATTTCTCATTTTGTCTCCCCAGACCTTCACTCATATCTCTCTCATGATGCTTTATTTTGAGAGGGGAGCGTTAAAACTTCTTTTACCCATTTTATACAATTATATATTGTATTATATACAATGGTCATGTTTCTAAAGGTAAAAGTAACCAGAAACTAGGGATGGGTCACGATTTTCGAATATACGATTAGTTGATTTAATTATAGAATATTGAATAGGTTGTGCGATTATTGTGTTTAAAAAATCTCCCCATGTTTGCCGTGCTGATGCGGTGGTGACGCGTTCATGTAAGCAGAGGGTGGCGCTGCCAATAACGCACCTAAAAGCTGCTGTCAAAGACAACACGAGAACACATTGTCTCATCCGCACACTGTAGACTTGCGTGGCATAAAAAAAGACTTGCGTAGCATATAACGGTTACAGTAACTTGGGACGATGTCAAACGTTACTGCCGAGTGCTGCTCCGTACGTACGTGTGATCGCGAATCTCGAAAGTGAAAGTAAAAAAATGCGCGTTCAAAAGCGATTTAAATGCCCCGCATATTAATAACAGCTCCCTGATGCCCGCAGTTCATATACAGTATGATTACCCAACGATATAATTGCGACAGAAGATATTGAAGTATATTTTTCCTCCCATCTCGTATCTATTTTCTTTAGGGGTTCCATTTTTTGAAATGGAAATGTCCTAGCCTTAGGAGCAGTTAATTTATGCTAATCGACGGACTGTTATGTTAATAAGTGCCGTCATTAGGTTGTGTTTATTATATTAATATGTTTCAGCACGTTACAATCATTATATGGCTTGAGTTAAGGTAGCCTATCTTCTGAATAAAACAGTTTATCATACAGATTGAAAGCGTGAATCCTGTCTCTCTCCCTCTCTCTCTCTGTTTATGGGTACGTGCATGCGGGTCTCTCTCAGTTTATGGGTGTTTGTGCGTGCATGCGGGGGAGGGGTAATCGAATAATACCCTTCTATTTTCGAATATTATTTTTGCTTGGAATGCCCATCCCTACCAGAAACCTGGTATTCTATAAGCCAAAATGAGGGAAGGCACTTTGAATTAGCCATTAATGTTTTTAAAAATCAGTAAACGGCGGAACATTTACAATTAATGCAGCCTAATATGTAAGCGATGGTTTCCATTTTATATGGCTAAGTGGTATCAGATCTCACAACGAATTGCACCGCAAGACGTAAATGCAAGTTAAAGAGCTAAATCCAGTTAGAGGGGTCATATGATGTTGCTAAAAAGAACTATTTTGTGTATTTGGTGTAATGAAATGTGTTTATGCGGTTTAAGGTTCAAAAAACACATTATTTTCCACATACTGTACATTATTGTTTCTCCTCTATGCCCCGCCTTTCTGAAACGCATCGATTTTTACAAAGCTCATTGGTCTGAAAAGCGAGGTGTGCTCTGATTGGCCAGCTATCCAGTGCATTGTGATTGGCCGAATACCTCAAGCATGTGACGGAAATGTTACGCCCCTTACATACTGTGATGCCTTGTCCCGGCGCGACGGAAAAATTGAAATCGCCATCATATGCCCCTTTAAAGACTGTCCAGATACAAAATGCATTAATGCCAGGTGCAAAGAGGGCTTTTTTTCTTGTCTATAGGCCACAAATATTTTATAAGTGAGTAAGCCGAGTTTCCTTTATGAAACTAATTAGGATTTACTCTTGTCCTCTGACCTGCAAGTTTTTTCTCTGCCTCTTTTTCCTCCTCCTCGGGTTCATCCTGAGACCGTAGATCTGTCGAGTGCATACTGGTCACAGACACTCCACTACCAGAACGCATTCTCCTAAACAAACAGGAAAGAATTAAGTCCTATAGTTGTAACCATTTGCATTGTTAGAATAAAAGTTCTCTTAAGTCTAAATTTTAACTAACTTGGCAGACTATTCTAAGGCGTGAAAGCTGATAATTGACAAAATACAGTTGTGGGCCATCAGTGGGGTCACTCACCTGAATGTTGGAGGTATGAGGTCAGGGGGCAGCAATGGGGGAAGAGGCAGACCGGACATTGCCATGTCAATTAAGTGCATGGCCAGAATAAACTCTTCTGCAGTCAACTTTCCGTCCTGGTCTATATCGGACAGGTTCCTATATAGATAAACAGTGGATGTTTTATGGAGACAAAACAGCTATTTATCTTGCCTTTCCACATGACACCTGATCACCCAAGATCCGATGTTAACATCAAGTGTAAACAGGACCATAGGTAATACAAAAATCCCAAGAACAGCATGTTAAAAGAAATCAAAACACCAGTCGGATGTTCTTATAACAATAACCAGATACCAATCCTCATGTTTACGCTGATACAGATCTCTGAACTCTGAGATTTGTTTTGAGTTTTAAATGCGAGACAGAGACACAATAAGAAAAATGTGTTGGATCTGCACCAGATGGTGGCCAGCTGGGCCTGCGGTAGACTGGACTGCATTAGAATAGTTCTGGCTTGTGGACCTGAAGCAGAAAAGAAAAAGAAAGAGAAAGAGAGAGAGGGGAAAGAGAAGTGAAAGAAAGAGTTGAGTATGTTGAGTCAGCAACCTCTGCTTCCTCTAAGCTGTACTGAGTAACCACTGTCACTTATCACATGAGCTTTGAGCTCCGCAAATGCATTGAATTAAAAACTAGATTATTACACAGAAAATGTGAATGGTGGCATATGCATATGAAAATAGTATTAAATCAAATTTTAAAATACAAAACTAATAATAACCTTGTTAAAATCTACAGCTATGCAGCAATTAAATTTGAGATTTAAATTAGCTGAACAACAAAACAAAATACAAAGTGTTTCACCACATGATGATTATTATGTGTCATGCTTTGTGTGACGGACACCATACCTGTGAGATAACCACTCATCATTTTGTCATGGCTGTTGAAGAGTTGGCGGTATTTGAGTCGAGAGGACTGAGGCACGGCCCAGTCAATGGGTGGAGGAGCAGCCGGAGCACTAAAGAGACAATGTGTGTGTTAAAGTGGCTCCATTATGCTCATTTACATGTTCATTATTTTATTTTTGGGTAGGGTTGGGTATCGTTTGAATTATCGATTCCTAGTTTTGATTCCAATAAGACAAAAAATCCAATATATATATATATAAAAAAAGTCAAACATTTAGATATCAAACATTTATTCTGTCTTTTTACAAAGCATTCTGTTGCAGCTGATTAACAAGAGCAAAAAGCAGCAGCCTACAGAACACTTAGGCCTACAAGAGGAACTTTTGCCTATGCTTTTAACAAAAATGCCACAGCAAAAATAGCTAGACAAATATAAATTTCAAATATTAAAGTGTTAAAGACAAGTAAACAGTCAGTAATAAAATAGGAATAAACAAATCAATTAGCAATAGCATAAATACAACTGAACCAAATTTCAGGTACAGAAACTGTATTTAAAAGTTTAGAAACACTGCATATTTTTTTCATAAATAAAATATAAATTATTAAAGTTATTAAAGATATTCAGTCAAGATCAGTGAATGATTTTTTTGTTCTTTGATTAACATTAATGACAGGCAGCGCATATATTAGGCTGCTGTCTCTTTAACACCAAACGCATGCAGATCTAAAAATACTGTACATGTGTTTTCTTTCTCATCTGTTTACATTCGAAGTTCTTTCCGTTCCTGCACTTAAATCGTTTTAAATCACATCATAATGCGAACGAGTACATTAACATGATCTACAGTTCAAAAAAAAAAAATTTTCTCAAATGGTACATTGGTTCAGCCCTCTTTTCAGCTGAAACACTCTTGTTTTAGTTCCTTTTTGATGTCGCAAAATTATGGAAATAATGGCAGGACTATAAACGAGGCATTTCAGGCAAGTGTTTTCTGCAGATTGCTTAAATGCACAAACAGCTATATTACACGCTAAAGGAAAGGTAAAGTCATAATATGTGCTTTTAACATCTATAAAATTTCTGTGAATACAGTGTAAATGTGTGTGTGTGTGTGTACCTGGGTGCCTCAACTGACTGGCCCTTCTGTAGCTTGATACTGGAACGATTGAACGAAGGGGTTTTGTTGAGCGCAGCAGCTGAGAGACAGAGACAAACACCCATAAATTATCCTGCCAAAGTAAACAAACTGTTATAAGCTGGTCTAGGTAGTGTGAGTGTTTGTTTACATTACCTGGATGCGAGAATCCACTCATGGGTTGTATCATAGCGGGTGCTCCGTTAGCAAGGGATGGTACGGCTGGGGTCACTGATGCTACCAGAGGTGGAGACACACCTACTCCTGGAGGCAGAGGGGGCAGGGGCATGGGCGGCACTGCTGGCAGGCCTGGCATTGACCCGATACTGGGCATCCCTGATGAAGGAAATAAATTAAATAATTAATTCATTTAATTACTTAATAATAATTAATGCAAATTTGTTTATATATAAATAAATGGTTGGAAGGTATGCTTGATGCATTGCTAATTTAATGTAATTATAACATAACATTCTATAAGGTACTCTAAATCTCTGAGGGAACTGACTGAACTACAATCTTAACACAATCAAGTCCTGAACAAGAGAAGAGTGGTCTTCTGTAGATCTAGAATAAAGCATTTAATATACAATCTTTTCTAATATAGTCCTGGTCTAAAAACACTACTGTCTAGTCTAAATCAGGGGCTCTCAACATTTCTACTTCCAGTTAAAAAATTTTTTTAAAAACAAGCAGCGTTTTCAAAATTACACCTGAAATACCAGAGGAAATATTTTAGCTAATAAGAGGGGCTTTTGAATAATTGTGCTGGACAAAGGTGGGCCATTCGAGTCAAAACAGTTGAGAAGCACTAGTCTAATGACTGAGACTTCATCTGTGTCCTGATATGTTACATGTCATTCAAGCCATCAGAAAGAAAACAAAAACATGTCATTCAAGCCATCAGCCATTTCTTACCAAAAGGCGGCTGTGGGGGAATGGAGAGGGGTGGCTGCTTCATGGAGGGGGGCAGTGAAGGAGGGAGGGGGTGACCCTGCAGCTTCAATTTAATCAGCTTCATTGCGATGGAAAATTCATGTATGTCCATCTTCCCATCGTTGTTCATGTCGGCCAGGGCCCTGCAAAACATGAACAGAGTATCTTGTTCAGTGACAGACAACATGTTAACTTCATCATCCATATCATTCAGGATTTGCAACCTGCTACACGATCGGTTTTCATAGACACAGTAGCCTGGACAATTTAAAACTTTTAAAAAAGGATGAATTTTTACAGAAAAACAATGTAAAAATGCTACAGTAATTGGTTAACTGTAAATTTATATTTAATGGTTAATTGATGGTTTTAGGAAGTAAAAACAATGAACTTCCATATAATTTACAGTAAAAAGGACATTCTCAGAAGCCCCCACGTGACACATCACATATAATAATGTTCTTATTTTTGTTATCAGTAATGTACATTAAGGTGTTTTGTGTTAAATTTTATCTTATGTAAATGTTTACTGAATTATTTTAGTGTCGTGTCTTACCCTAACAGTGTTTTTTGTGTGTGTATGACCCTGTGGTCCATCTACCAATAATGGCCATGCCTTATGGACAGTACACTTCTGATTCATAATGTGGTTTTCTATTGTACCTGTATTGTTATAGTGGTTATCAGTACAAGTTACAAGGTAAAAAGCAGATTTTGGCAGTAAACTGGTATATTAACATTATATTATTTAATGAAACATATGGTTATAAGTTGTAAAATATACAGCCATCTGGCAATACTGGAAACACTGTCATAAGCATTTTGTGCAATGAATTTCTGGCAACAACAGCTGCAAGTGTTTTACTGTAAATGCAATGGAATATTTTTTACAATGTACAGTAATTATTGAACAAAAGCACATATTGGATTATGAAAGTAGTGCACTTGATTATAAATTAATATGTGTTATAGGAATTGTGTACCATATCTGGGCGAGGATGGGGGCAGGTAAACCTGACTGCAGAAAGAAATTCCTTGCCTGGTCACCTAAAGAGAGAGAGAGAAAGGGAAAAAAATTAATATGAATATTGAGTAAATATATAAATAAACACACTCTATGGTATAAACGAACAAAATAGAAAGGTTTTGTCCCCACAACTTAAAATGAATGTGGTCTTCAAAGAATTTTATGACATTAAAATGATGTAATTGTTTTAGTATGCTAATAAAACATTGATAACATAATTAAGAATTACGTAATCCCATTTAAACCATCTTGTCAACAAACATGCAGAGGGTTTATTGACCGCACTTGAGTGACATTGGCCTCTGGGGCGAGTGATCTGCCAGCTACAGCTTGAGCAAGAAAGGAAAGCCGAGTCAGTGTGCTCATATGTTATCTAACCTATCAAACCGATTTCCTGCTCCTATGACAGACTATACTGCTAAACACAAAAAAGTGTGTAAAGCAGCGAACTACAGTTTTCTTTTCTTTTCTTTTTTTTTAACATTGCCTATAATGGTTTATTATACGACAATCTTATACCAGTGTCAACTAATGCCACAGCAGGCCAGATAACCTAAACCATCCCTTTTACAACCTACCAACCAATGCACAAAGCAATGGGAGATGTGAGTTTGTTCCTCTGCCAAAGCAAAAATGACCTTTTCACCTTCCTTTAAACACGTTTCCTCTCAATAACAGATGCACACACACAGAACGTCTTTATACCCTCAGAGCTGAAAACAGACTCCCTCCCCATGCCTGCCTGACTGTGGGCCACTCACTGCTTCAGCCGTCCTTCAGTCAACACAAAGAGGCTCTTTCAGATCCACTGGTCAACAGGAAACCCACAAGTACCATCTCTTCAGTAGGTGTCCAAAGTCCAGCTGGGACAAGCTGGTTTTACTGTTTGCGTCTTGTGATTTTGATTAGCCCTTTGGAGGTTAATTTCACATCTACTGTATCTATGATTGCAGAATGAGATCATGAAATGTGTGTACTTTGAGCATTTCTTTCAATGTAATGTATGAAATGTTCCAGAATCTTCTTCAGACTGGCAAAATGTCTCCAAAGAGAGTCCAGGGAGAAAGATGGCTTTCTATAACAGGAACAAACATGTCAAAGCTTCAACTAGAGATTAGAAACAAACAGCATCAGCAAAAGATGACAGAGAAATGACCTTTTCTAGACGAGTCACATGGAAATCAACATGCCACACCCTGATCGGTTTCCTTCTCTGTATCTTTCTCAGTGATTCTGTTAACATCACACACTGTCAACTCACAACTGAAACGTTCACTACATGTTTACAGCGAATCAGAATTTGAACTCTAAAACATCTGCATTGCGCAAACCTTTACACAAGCTTTAGATGGTTGCTCTTCAGACTAATGTAAACGTGGAACGGTTTTAATGTGGGTCAGTGGCAAAGCCAGAGTTCACCCGTTTCGGTGGAGGAGGTGCTGAGATTTACATTAACACTTCTCAGACTGTTTCTTATAATACTTTAAGACAGTTGCAAATCTGATCGAAGATAACGCAAGCATCATCCACCCATTTACAGGCAGAAAACAGGAAGTGCAGACCTGCCAACCTTGGAAAATTTTTTTGAGTACCATCAGCGTGGCGGGCGGGGGGGGGAGTGGGGGTAAAAAGTTTACTGT